GATGGATTTGTTGGTAAAGTAGTTTATGAAATACCTGTTTTCTTGTACTGTTTTCACATGGATATCCCATTTAATAAATACAAGAATGAGGTTATCGAACTTTTATTTCATTTAATCTGCTTTGCATTAATTTTGTTGGTTTTGAAAATACTCTTTATTTTTAATAACTAATTAGTACCACTTCTTCAGATGTTAAACTCTTCAACCATCTTATTGTTTCACCTTTTATCGTCACCTTGTAACCAGTTTGTATTTCATGAGTAAGAAGAATTTTGAAGAGGATGGTTTAATTCCCGTGTGAAGAGAGAGAGAGAGTGAGTGAGTAGTGTTCCACTGTGGTGATTGAAACTTTCGTCAAATGGTAGTCATAATCCAGCATTACTAGGTTGAAGTATCATTCAAATAATCAACTCATAACTTTTACAATGACATACATAACATATGTATATCTTATTCAAATCGCCATTTCAATAAGCGACTACGTTTAAGACGCCTGTCAGCATTTCCTGTCACATATATTTCATTAATTAATGATAGTTCCAGCAAATACGAAAACCATCATCCAGAAGATACAAGTGTTTATTAACAGTCGTCTACGCAAAATACTTCCGATCCATTGGTCAGACATTATCAGCAACCACTTACTGTGGGAGAAAACAAACCAGATCTCAGCAGAGGAAGAAATCAGGAAGGAGTGTTGGAAGTCGATAGGACACACATTGAGGAAAGCACTCAACTGAGTCACAAGGCAAGCCCTCACTTGGAATCCTGAAGGTCAAAGGAGAAGAGGAATACCAAAGAACACATTGCGTCGAGAAATGGAGATAGACACGAGAGGAATGAACAAAAGTTGGATAGATCTGGAAAGGAAGTCCCAGTACAGAGTGAGTTGGAGACTGCTGATGGGCAGTCTATGATCCGTTAGGAGTAACAGACGTAAGTAAGTAAGTATGTAAGTAAATCAAATAAAAACTTTTTAGTGATTTATAATGATGTTTAATCGACGTTCCATAGATCAATAGTTTATTATGAAATGAATGTTTCTTGGATATAACTTACTTGATTTTACAGATAAATTACATGAATTCTCCTTATGTTCAAATCGATCATGAAGTGGTAATTTATTGATAGACAATATATCCTGACAATCTAAACTATTCAATTGTTCCGTATCATTTAATGTCATCATTCTTTCAAGAGTTTTCTGGGGGGTTTTGTTTTTCTTCTTCTTCTTCTTCTTCTTCTTCTTCTTTTTAATTGTTTATTTGCTTATAATTTAAATACCAAGTTTAATTTGTTGTTTAACATTTAGTAGATACATCTTTAATGAAAACAAAAAAGAAACTAATTTAGTTCATTTAAGGTCATTTCATTGAGGGTAACTAATTAGATTAAGTGTCCTTTAAATAAATTGTAGACAAACCATTACTGTATTGTATTGTAGACGAATTATATTGATAAGAATATAGGTAACCAATGCTAAAAGTTAATTTGATTTATTGATTTTGTCATTGTATTCATTTATTGTGCAGCAAAATGATAATTTATTAAAGCTATACTTTAAAGATTATAAATATATTCAACATATCATAAATATCAGTATGGGGGTTGTAGAGATTCCACTACCAGCCACTATTCATCATTGCTTACAAAAAGCTTGTGAATTAAGGCGATATCGAGGCATATGCACAGTATGCACATATGCCGATAACAGACTGATCAATTGCAGTCTTAAAACTCAATGGGAAGATACAAGCCAAATATTACCAAGTGAATTGAAATTCACCCCATTGAACAAGCAAATGGCTATCAGTACTCAGTAGCTAAGTGGATAACGCGATGGCCTTTGAAGCGAATGGTACTGAGTTCGAGTCCCAAAGTGAACATCAACTCAGATGCGGGTGCATCCAGCTGACGAGTCCCCAACCGGACGAAAAGCGCTACCCGGATTCCTCTGCCAGTCATTATCCATCATTGCTTACAAAAAGAGATTATTATGTTTTTTTATTGAGACCATAAATTGGTTGATGTTAGACCACCACGGGTTTGAATCCCATGAGCGGGATCATGGGTGTACACTACTGAGGAGTCCCACAATAAGACGGAACAATTGTCCATTGCTTCCAAGGTTTTTTGTTGGTTGTCGGACATCAACCAGTTCATGGTCTCAATCAAAAAAATATCACAAATAATATTATATATTTATTGTAGAGTTACATTGTTGCAAATGAATTTCAATATATTTATTATTATTATTAGCTTTATTCAACATTATATTCTTGGTACAATATAGAATTCTCAGTATAAAGTATTTCAACAAGTTTCCCTTTCTTATATCTTGATCGATTGTGACGATAAATTTTGAATGATGACCAGTTAGATGTTAAGAGTTCGGTAATCCACATTTGATTAATGTTCATTCGTTTCAATGCATATTGCCAGCCACCATGATGTCGCTGATTGTACCTTTTTGTATCATGTATAGCGAAAGGTTGTACACTTTTCATAAACTTTCCTGAATAGATTGTGCGCACATGATGATGTGCTAAAACAAACAACAAAATAGATAACTTGATGAAATATCAAGATCGGAGGAACAGGTAGCCCAGATATTCAAGCAGGCCGCCACTGAAGTCTATATATATGAGTATTTTATAGTTAATTACTACAGTTACTCTCTCTCTCTATTACTGATAATGTATTTCAAACAGTCCTGTGAATAACACTCCATTCTTTGGGTAAATAACATATACAGATCGAAATAAGAATTGGAGATGATAAGGTAAGATAAAAAAAACACAGTTCAAAAGTGTTATTCCTATTATGAGATTGGAAAAATAAGAATACTAATGTTCAGGAACAACCTTAAGGATAGGCTCTTACTTCTGACCATTTCTATATGCATTCATCAATTTACTTATGAGAAACTAGATATATGGATTGATCAATGCATATCCTATCTGAAAGAAGTTAAGAACATTGTGCGGTTTGACTGAAATAAAATTAAAATTAATCGTTAAGATGTCTTATAATCGAACACTTCGTGAACACATTTCCGATGGATAAAACAAAATCCACAAGATAAGTAGAAACTTGCCAAAACCAGTGGATTTCCATCTTCCTAACATCGTCGAAGCATTTATTATATGACTGAAAAAAAAACCCCAAAAGCATGAATACAATAGAAATTTATCGTACCTCTTATTTGACCATGTTGTCAAACTCTCGTTTTCGCAAAGTTAGCATCTTCTCCCCTGTCTCATTCTCTGTTGGCCTTTCATCGTCAAATGACTTATTTCTTTTTCTAAGTTCATCACAATACCAATAATTTATGTGATCACTTTGCCCAAACCTTCTCTAAAGCTATTCATTTTATCTACTTGTCAATGAATATTTAAGCTCTTAACAACTACAAATAAATAACGACTATATAGCGTAATAATAAGTTGACCAGAATGAGAGCTCATCGCTGAACTAATCTGTCCTGTTTTCATACGGTACAATTATTTAAATTTCCGACTGTTTATTTTTCACTGAAAAATGATATCACTTGAAGGAACACTGAAAACCAAGGACCATTAAATAGATGTTTCATCATGTTATTCAAATTTTCAGTAGTGAGAACCTATCCCTCTAGATTTTGAATCAAAGACTTCCAATTTTGAAGACTAGCGAGTTGCATTTAAGAGACTAAGTCACTAATATACGTGTATGTTCTAAGCTTAATCAAAATGTTTAGAGCACATTTGAGGTAATTTAGTGATGGAATTAAAAAGAATCACAGAAGTGGTGAGGCCTTAATATCTTGATCTTACTTCACGAATCAATGAATTTAAATGATTTCGATTCATGTGTACTGAGAGTATACAACTTCATTTCAATATGATGAAGTCATCACAGGTTGCTGAGTTACCTCAATTCTGACTAATTTATTTATAAGGAAGGCGAAAATGAAGCAGGTAGTTGAGTATACTAGATTCATTTATAAATATTTTTGTCCTATGTTTCTTGTTTATTATGTACTTAAATGAACTAGTGCTCAGATTATTTTAAACATATTGAAAAACAAAACAAACTAGCCTGTATAATTAGTCTATTTCACAGTGTTGGCACTGATTGTACTGTAAACTATAAATACAGATGTGATGAACTTGAACTCGACCCTTTAAAGAACTAAGGACTTAAACGTAATCTAACTGTTTTCATCGAAATACTTAATAAACCATTCAATGAAGCGATTCAAGATCCAGAAACTCCTACTCACATCATCTGTAACTCCTAGTCATTAGTGAAACCATCACATTCTAAATCTTCTCTCCATATTAATTACTTTACCATTAAATTTTCCAGACTCTGGAATAATTAACCACAATCTGTCCGTGGAAAAAAATCACTGCTATCATCTTTTCGTTGCATCGATGCCTACTTCTCCTCTGAAAATGCTTTAAATATTTTTACACCTGAAAGTATATCTCATCCCACAACTGAGATACTGGGGATTTCCAATGTTTAATTATTTTATTACCAAACCCACCAAGTAAAACTCCCTACGTGTAGATACTTAACACTAACACCGTTCCTGATAACTATAGATAATACGAATAATATGTAACATGAATGGTTTATCACAAAATAACCTGACACATTTATTATGGTACACCCGGCTGGCCGACCCACTGACCTATCGTAGTAATTATCCCTTTAGTCGTTTCATGCTCGCTGATTCCATTTTATTTTCTCACATGTTGTAGTGATGATATTGATTGGTTATAACTCAGAAATTGACCTTCAATGCACCGTTGATATATGAATTGTATTTTCACTTAAAGTGAATTAAGAGTTCCAACTTGAACACTTTCATTACTGTAATAAATGTTACAAATGCACTACAAAAACTATTCTTCAACTAGAATACAACAAACAACCTAATATCACATATGTATCCTTTACACGATCTATATCAAGCTGATTATGCCTGTAAACTGGTAGGAATTCTATAATTGGTATTTTCAGAATATATCATGTTATTAATAATGAAAATAATAATAATTTATGTCAATTACATTCGAAATTATAACAGTTCAAAGAGTATCAACTTATTGTTGACTATACGAAAAGGAAACAATTGGAATCAGTGATAGAAAGTAACACTGTTTACACATGTGCACATGCGAAAATAATATCCAATGGTAGTAAGAAACTAATTGAAATACACAAAAATATATTGGATTATAAAGGAGTGTTTTCAATTTCAAAGTCGAATTTCTTCTATCTTCATAATCTTACAATCCATACCCCTCTCGAACTGGAGGTTGCTGTAGAGTACTTGCAATCAGTTGCAAAATACTACCAGCATAAATAAGTAAACAAGCTGACCAAGCCATAGGTATCATACCACCAGGTGAATATACCGTATTATCACGAACAGTCTAAGTAAGCAGAAAATTATAAATCAATCAAATTCTATAACATAAACATATATAATACAAAGAAAATATTTGCCTATTTAATATCTCAGTATCATCACTGATTAGTACACTTTGTCATCTTTCAAGCCAGTTACTTACCAGCTATATGGAGATATGTTTATTTACAGATACATATCATCTAGATTCAAATACTCTCATTGTTTACACATTCAACTTATAACGAAGTTGAAAACAGAATGTTCAAGTTTTCCAATGATGATTGGATTGATTGTTTTGTATAATGTGAGTAGTTTGAGAATTTTATGTGAATTCAGAAATCGGTCTCCACAAGAGTTCAGTAAAACGTCACTCGACAATGTATTTTGATTGTTGTAATGCATTTGTGGATCCATCCATTAAGAAATGATATATTTACATAATGTAACGTAATGTAATGTGACGGTTAGTAGCTTTCAACTAGAGAGTGTGACTGGTCGTGAATGAAATACTCATTAATTTCAAGTTATCCGAACCCATCCACTCAATTGAAGACCATCATTCGTCAGATAAATTATATGTAAAGGGGTTTTTGTGAGTATTATAGTAATTTTCATAGCTGAGATCATGAGCCAATTGAAGCTATACAACCATGAAAAAGCCCCGAAATTGATCGACACATCCACCAACATCTTTTCTGAGTTACTAACTCGAACAGACCCTGTTGAACTCCACTGGCCACGAATTCTCACTGGATCTTCAAGAAATGCCTCTTGAAGCTAGTCACCAGTAAGCATATGATCATTATCAACAAAGAGGCTTTCCATGAAATTTTAGTAGTATGCGTGGAAATATTTGACAATATTTTACAACCTACTGACAATAGTAAACAGGTACAAAACTATCTACTTATCGTTTCAATCTTACCGTTGTCCATGCAGATCTGGCTGATGTTAGCCTAGTATCTAGTCGATAATTTTCTTGCGACATATCTTCGTAATATATTAGAAGACTGATGAAATAAATTAAACCTATTTGGATCAAGAAAATGAAATTCAATGAGCGAAAACGTTGAAACTTGATCTAAAAATAAGCACACACATTCATCTGAAATTCATGCCGAATAATCAGAAATAAAGATTGATGAGAAAGCAGTTTGTAGTTGACACGATATTTGTTTGTGTTTCTATAACATCGTATGATCAATGCTTCATACGCACTTTTAATAGTTCTGTTATTCCTTTTGACCCATCAATCATCACCTGACCAAACGGTCAGTTAGAATACCGATTTATATGTTCTTGGCACTGTGCCAAACTAATGACTCGTTAACCAGTACGAGCTGCATGATGTTAACTCTGAGTTTTTATTGGTTCTTCTTGCTTTACCCTACGAATTTGAGTTCAGAACACAATCTCAGCTTACACTGTATGAATCATGTTTTTCAGACACACGCAGTTTACATACAAGCTAACCTATTTCGATTAAGAAAATGAAATTCAATGAGCGAAAACGTTGAAAGTTTATTTGTAAATAAGCACACACACCTGAAATTCATACTGATTGTTTGTGACGAATATACTAATACATATATGACAACACAAGTCATCTATCTAATACAGATTAAAGCACTAGGTGTTTAGTCACAATCATTGTTCAAATTCCAGCAGTACTATCATCCGTGAAACCCGAACTGAAGTGATGCCAAGTGAGTTCAAACTGGGACCTATTTGTTGAAAACTCGATACTTTTACGATCGAAGCACTGTTCCACTTATAATATTACATGACGACATAATATGCATGAAACAAATTTACCTGTAAGCCATAATGCGGCACCTCCACCCAAAGCTGTATATTGAGCTGTTCGTGGTTTGAATTTCTCTGGTTTCTTCCATGTCACGATTATGAAGACACATGTTATAACGATGATCATGAAAACCAATATGATTGTAATGATTTGCAGTGCGTTTATAGCTGTTCTCATTGCTGGAAAAAAAGTTGATAACATTTTCCGAGTTAAATTTTATGTTATCATTCATTAATAATAGACAAGGAATCATGTGAAGCATCAGTGTTATAAATGCAACAGTACTGTGTACTTTGTCAGGTCAATCATTTTGCGAATAATGAAAAAAATAGTAATCGACACTATACTAAGTTTCATTTATTTAAGCAACATAAATATTTAACTTCATTTTCTCAGTTGTGTTGTACGGTATCTGATTCTGATTTTGATGCTAGTGATGAAGTTTACGCTGAGAATCCTATATAGTTACTTACGTACACCTGTTACCCCTCATGGAACGTAGGTCACCGACAAGAATCATCAAATAACTCTGTTCCGGTCTCAACTTTCAAGTGATGTTCATTTATTTTTTATGTGTGTGCTGAATTTTTAAAGCAAGGTTATTTTGGTCTGTCTCTTTTCCAATGTACTTTGGAATACAAGTTAGGGCTTACCTATAAATGCAGTTTGATGATTCCATCATTGTCTGTCTATTGAACGGATCTAGAGTATCATGGGTAGATAGTTCTTTACATATAATTGTACTTTATTGATAATGGTTATAGTGGTTCTCCCTGTTTCAGTTCTAATCAGTGGTAATGTCTTGATGTTAAAATTAAAAATTGTGACTCTGGTGTTGGCTCATAGATGTTTCCAGTTCCACATATTGTTCAACTGTAAGAATGTTGCCCTTATTTCGCAAATCTGTGCATTTACAGCTGCATCAGATCCTGATTGTTAATCGATGGTACTAATCAAAGCTGATTATACTGGGCGAACGTTATTCATTTAGAACAAACTGAATAACTCGCATTTCGATTGGTGAATAAATCACGTGACAAGAAGACGTCCTTTTAAGACATAAAAGGTGGGATGACAGGTACAGGAAGGTCTTTGTGTAGTGCTTCGATGTCCAATGAATTCGGTGAGATTGGTCTATTCAAGAGTTTATCGGAGTTCAGTCAGCTACTATGATGAATCTGGTGATTCATATTTACATCAATTTTAGAGTTCTAATGTTGCACAAACAGGTTGTCAAGAGTACAGTTACATGTTATACAACTTTCAAATGGTTATCTTTCGAGCCCATTCTATTACTACGATCATATACACAGTGTCTAGTAATTCTGAGAACTTATCGTCACTCGTTGGAATTTAACATATGGTAGTCCTCCTTATCTAAACTGACTGAAGATTTTCAAAAGAGAGTGAGATAACTATGAATTCATGTTTAACCAGATCTCAAATGAAATATTTCAAAGTCTTGCATCACTAACTCACAGGAGTGACAGAAGACTTGATTAGTGAGGTTCAACCGTGTCAGGTATGAGACCAATATCGAGAAGTGATTGAAGGTCAAATTGTTAACAGTCGAATGTCAACACAGTTGTCTCGAGGATAAGCACTCATTTAGACATCTGAACTTTGTGAAGTCGGCTATCGGTGGCGTCGTTCATGAGCAATCCTCATTTCTATCATACGTCGACGATCAGTTGTCCAATACTTCCTGATCTCTAATAATTAGTCCATCATGTAAAACTATAAAATCTAACAATATCCACAACTCCCCTATACTAGTAACGAATTTCATGTTCATTTCAAAATATATTTTCCCATCCATTATTCTGTAAATATTTTAGCAAACACTTTACCGACTTACATAATATTGATTGAACATTACCGCTGTAGCTGCCAGATTCTGTACTAGTTTCCAGAGCATAACATTGACCATTGTATGATGAACTTACTAAAGATACATATAAGGAAAGAAACGAAGTGAATGGATTTCTCTTCCATCAAATCAATGTGTTCATTTGTATAAAACAATCGATCTGTTATTAAGAACAATACTGAATAATGTACTGATTTGGGAAGCAACAGTCTAAAAGTAGGAACTAATTTCTAATCATGAGTTATTTATCAATTACTCATGTTCAACACCAAATAAGCAGTATCAATAGTAAATAAACAACTCTGCTTGATGAAGTTTACCGTAACGTTTATAATATCCAATAGGTACTGCGGACTCGATGCTTTGGGTGATTTCTCAGTCAATCCAGTGGATGATTACTGTCTACCAAAGATCCCATTCGAAGTTTTCTTTCAATAACATTTCTCTATCTATCTGGTGTTATTGGCTGCTATTTACCAAGATGTTTATGGGAAATGGTTGCGGATATCTCCATATATCTAAGATGAAAACTTTGTGGAAGAATAAACCCCAGTAGGCATCGCTCATCCATTCAACGAACGAAAGAATGGTCGGAAGTGATGGATGGAAAATGTTTACTGAGCATTGAGAACGTTACGGATAATCTAAGCCGTTATGATTAAGATTGAAATTCATATCATTCGCGTTAAAAATGTGCCAGCAGTCGTACTTCTTATTAAACTAATTAGAAATTTTTCAATCAGACTATGGATGCTGTAGGTGCTGTAGAGATGCTGTGGAGATTCAATGTTCAGTATGATAACAGATATGCACACTGAATTCACGATTTGATAATGCATATTTCATAAATAGATATATTTCTCAAAACAATCACAAATGGAATTCATTAGAAAACTGTCTATTAAAATTGTAAACTTTAATCTATACCATAAAAGTGTTGAATATTATTCATATTAGGCCCAATGTCAGTTCGTGATGACAACTCTGACTCTGTTTCTTAGCTCAAACTCAAAAAGCCTATTTCTCATTCCTCACAAAAATCCATTACCCTATACTGAGAGTAATAATTAGTCGAAGTTTCACAAGGTCACTTCACAATCACTCAATGATCACCCGTAAATTATGACCTCATTCACATTTGGCAATCGACTGTTTCTAAATAAAACGCTGTCTAGATAATTAATATAGGTCAACACATTGTTTTCTTAAAATTACTGTTATAGTATTCTTATGATTATGAATAGCCTTTTCAGATTGTATATTTTCACTTCAATTCCGTTTTCTATCGGACTTCTTCACAACGATTCGCGCATAAATCGTCAATTATTTCCGATTGTTCATCTGTTCATTGGAAAATGAATTTTAGTGATATCGTTATCTGAAGACTCTAATTTATGGACGAATCAATCACATTTAGGATAATAGGTATTGGATTTTGGCATAAAATTCACTCACACACTTGGCCAAATAGCGTCTTGACATTTTAGCTGATGTCAATTTATAATGAAAACCGGAAACCTAATTCCTAACCCTAACCATCAAATGTGAGTCATAATCCATATTCTTCAAACTGCCTTATAACCCTCATTTGGCTCTAGTGAGTAGGTACACACTCTCAAAGTCACTTGGGCATCGCTCAAAAGTTGTCCATAAATTAGTCTCACCTGAATTTTCTATCCTAGACTGTGCCCAATCCTTTATCAATTCCTTAATTTTCTACTATTTACATTGAAATTCACCCATAAGTCTTTCACTTGATTTCAGTCTATAAGATGTGTGGTCACAGAAACAAACAAATGATTACGCTAACAATCAAGAGAGTAATTGTATGCATTCATTTACAGTAGGTTACAATTGATGATAAATTTTATTAATAAAGATATTTCACTCGAAACCTTACCTATTTGATTAGTAATGCATTGCTTCCATAATCCACGAGAACGACTTAATTGATTATAATCATTGACAACACCAATGTATGAAACATCGTAAACAGCCCAATCGGGTGATATTTGTACTGCAATTGCCAAACCCAAAAATACCAATTCACATATATATGAGGCTGTATTTAATCCAATCCAAGCTGCACGACCAGATCGCATTCTTTTTTATTTTTTTTTAGAATAATGAATTTGGCAATTAACAAATTCTTTTCTATTCAAATTTCACCTTTTATACATTTACCATTTTACCCGAAAGAGCACATCATCCAATATTTAGAACATTTGTGACCTATTAAATATACATCACTGATTAGACAATCGCTAGGTAAAATTCTATTGGCGTATGACAAATTTTTAAAGAAATATTCTGTACATTAGTATATTTATTACTTAATCTTTCATTTTTAGTTAAGTAGTAATCGATTTATCGATTGGGTTTGTTTTCGAAATACTTAACGGTCGATTTTCAAGAATGTTCTAGTGTAATTCACCAATGAATTCTAGTCAGCACCATGCTTGAGGATTCTACCAATCTTTACCAATAAACGATCTCTATGACTGGTATTCAGGCTTTTGAATAATCTCGGGTAGATCCATAATTCTACTAGTAAATTTAGCCTGCATTAAATACTCAGTTAACGGGATACTATTTATTGGAGTCAGTTATAGAAACTAGCCTCTACACTTACTTACCTACTTACTTACTCACTGATTTACGCCTGTTGCTCCTCGTGGAAGAGCATAGGCTGCCCACAAGTATTCTCCATCGAACTCTGTCCTGGTCAATGCTTTCTAGTTGTTATTCATCCTTTTGATGTTTACTTCCGATTCTCGGCGAAATGCGTTCTTTGGCCTTCCTCGTTTCAATTACCCTTCAGGATTCCAAGTTAGCGCTTGTTTCGTGATGCAGTTTGATGTTTTCCATAATTTATGTTCTGTCCAGCTCCAACGTCTTTTCCTAAATTCCTATTTGGCTGGAAGCTAGTTTATTCTCACCCACAGAAAGCTGTTGCTGATGATATCCATTCAATGTATATTGAGTATCTTATGTAGACAATTCTTTATGAATACTTGTGCCTGCTGTGTTGCACTTCAGTATCTTGCTTTTCTTCTTTTGTATGTTGAGGTCTACTACTGTAGTGGTTGATACTACACAGACTGACTTCACCTGCATTTGCTGGTGTGTATGCGGTAGACAAAATAGGTCATCCAAGAAGTTCAAATCGTCTAGTTGCATTCAAGCTGTTCATTGTATTCCGTCCTTCCCCTCAGATGTGGAGGTCTTCATAACCCAGTCGACCACCATAAGTTAGAGAAAGGAGAAGAGTAAACGACTTTGTCCGGCACCGGTCCGCACTTGCAATGCATCTGTCAGCTGTTCTCCATGAACGATTCTACAGTGTGGTCAGTCGTATGAATTCCATATGATGTTGACAATCTTCTCAGTTACACCAGAGTTTCGAACAAGATTCCATAAGCTTATCCTATCCGCACTGTCAAATGTTTTCTCGTAGTCATCTACGTTGATGTATAGAGATGAGTTCCATTCAATCGATTGTTCAACAATGATCAGTGTTGTCACGATTTTTCGGTGAATGGTGGGTACGAATGAAGTCCGGTCGGTTGGTTTCGAATCTGGACGTCTAAGGAATCTTTTATCCGGTTCATCAACACTCCGTTGGAAACTGTTCCTGGCATTGATAGTGGTGTGATACCTCTGTAGTTCTCACATTTGCTCAGATCTCCTTTCGTTGGCACCTTGAGGAGTAATCCTTCTTTCCAGTCTGTCGGTGGCACTTGTTCTTCATCCCAAATCTTACTGAATGGGACGTGGAGCATGTTTGCGGTTACTTTTATGTCTGACTTGAGAGCTTCAGCTGGTATATTTTCAGGTCCTTCTGCTTCCCCACACATCCTATGTCCGATTACTATACTGATTTCTTGGTTAGTTTTTGGGGAGACAGTCATAGGAATATCTGTGTGTGCTGCTTCAATGTTCGATGGATTCAGTGGGACTGGTCTATTCAGGGTTTCATCGAAGTGATCTACACACCTGTTTGGTTGACCCCGAATGTGGGTGATTGGCTTGTCTTCCTTGTTCTTGACAGTTCATTCCGGTCTAATGAATTTGCCTGCCATTTTCTGCGTTATGTCATATTTCCATTTCTTGCAGCATTTCCGTTGTCCTTACTAGGCCTTTCACGTATTTCTGTCTGTCAGCTTCAATGTTCCTCTTCACTTGTTTGTTTGCTTCTATGTATCCAGTTTGTGATCTGAATTTCTCCCATCATCTACCATCAGGATGATCAGGTCTTGTCCTGAACTCTTTTCTTTGATCAATTGTAGACTCTCATAAAAGTGATCTTTATCGTTGTTGTTGCCATAATTGGTGGGTGCATAACATTGGATAGCATTCGTTGTAATCTCCTCCTTCTTTGCTTTGAAGGATGTTTTGATGATTCTGGATCCATGAGATTTCTATCCTATAAGTGCATTAAGTGATTCATTGGACAGCATCAGAACAACCTCAGTGTGTGCAGCATTTTTGCCTTCATGGCCAGAGTACAGAATCATCTCTTTCGAATCTATCCCTTTCTGTCCAGATTATATTCAAAATTTTTCACTGATCTCAAACACCGTCAGTTTGGGCCTTCCGTCTTCCACATTGTCCAGACATTCCATGTGCTTATAAAATTGTTTCTCTATTTGTTAGAAAGGGTATCGGTTTCTTGACTTCCGAAAAATCTCGGCTTTCATCATTGATGAAGATCCTTCAACTCGGAGAACAGAGTTTAGATGTATTAATTTGTTTATTCTGGTTAGCATTTTCTTAGTAAGGTTGTTTTCTGTGGGATCGTGTTGCTAACCTCATGCCCAGTCCTCCTCCTTTGCCCGGGCTTGAGACCGACAGTAATACTAGAAGTGCTACAGGCAGAAATTTGATTAACATTAAGGCACCTAGATCAGACCTAAGTCTTACTCTCGGAGTTACTGTATAGGGGGACAACATGGGCGGTCTATTGAGACCGGACGAATCATCCACTCCGTTTTATCCTTGATTAATTCTTGTTCCAACTCGCGGATCACTTAATCTCACCGAGCTACGTGATTTGTACGCTTATGTATAAGAATTGAAGAAGTTCTCAGGTTTATGTAGTTCATGAATGTAGGTATATTCAAAGGTCATGCGTGTGGTGTCATACAATGGAACCGTCAGCTGAAATATTGCCTGCTCTGTGTCTAATGAAATCAGCGGCCTAATTTTTCAGGTCGAAGTCATAATAATAATAATAATAATAATAATAATAATAATAAATAGTAGCAAAGCTACGGAGAGGCTACTAACAACCTCACTTAGAAGATACTTATGCTTATGTGTGTGTCAAGATGTACTGGGGGGTTAGCCATGGGCTGAATGATATACATGTTATGTGTAAGTAACAGTCTGTTGTAGTAAATACGTTTCAAAGAGAGCGGTGAACATCTAAACTACCAATTGAGTGAATATACCTATATGTATTCTTTGGGATGTATGGGATAAAACCTGTGCGTTACAGATGTGCATATAAAGTATATTTGCTCACAATCTAAGTATACCTATATATATGCAAAGGAATGCTCGGATGAGAATCCTTTTGTTAACTATTATGCATGTAGACTATATCTATCCAGTGTAAATGAAAACGTCAAAAACCTTTCACTTGCTCTTCTTGTTTAAAGACCTACATGCACTCAAAGACCTGAAGGGCCGCGGTTCTTAAAATCATATCCACATGGAAGGTTTATGAGTCTTGAAAACATGTAATCCATTGCATAAAGGCCTACAGGCCTCCCCAGAAAATGTTTTGCCGACCAATCTGGCTGGAACATAGTTAATTGACTTTAAATTAAAAACAAGTACACAGAATACCTTAAATGTTATGTAATATATATTAATGTAATTAATATGATAAATTAACAATTTTCAACCGTGAATGTATTTGCATAGTAAAACTGTGCTCATTTTGAATGTAATTTCCGTCCAACATATTTTTGTATTAATTTAATATAAATTCTTTTCACTGACTTTCAATGTATTTCCATTGTATCAATTAATTAACTGAGATTTTGTGTTTTAATGTCAGTCAGTAAGTCAGTCACTCAGTCAATCAGTCAGCTGCAACGTAGGACCAGGCATTTATATGCATCGGTCCGAATTGCCATAACTTCTATAATTTATCATAATCATTAAACCTAATAGTTAAGTAATTGAATTAGCTCAAATGTAAATTAATTGTTCTGAGATCTTCACCAAATATATCTTTCTTACAGAACTTATTTTTTGGACAGTCAGGACTAAAGTGAAAAAGAATGGTAAATAAATCATATTCAGTAGAGATATATCACAGAACAGCTTCAACATATAAAGGATCTTGATGATTTCTTGCCAACTTATAGTCTAATGAAAACGTTTGTAATGAGGAGAATTCGACTCTACGACAGACGTATCGTTGTGTTTGAACTTTAGAGCCAGTATACTCTGGGATAATCCACAACGCCGAAGAATGTCAATGATAACAATGGTGAGTAATTTGAAAGGTTTTATAAGCAGGAATGGAAGGTGAATAGCAGTGGAAATCAGGACTCACGTTTCATCCTATTTGGAACTGATCAGCTGGATGTGTCTGCATTCCAGAGTTAATGATAACTCAGATCAACTGAAGTCCTGAACATCATTGGAAAGATTCAAGCAAATAATGCTAATGAATCTAAAACGTTTCGCATTCTTTTAAGTGTCAACCGTAATAAAATACTGCTAAATAACATTAATCTTGATATGAACAATATACTGATTCATGAAATATTAGTATATTTGTCAGTATAATCAGTGAGGCTCGATTACAGCATTTATGAAACAGTTTTTTCTCATGAAATCGAAACTGATGGTGGTGGTTTTACATCGATCTATAAATTTAACCAGAAGTCCTAAAACTTACTTACTTACTGTTACTCCTCTTGAAGGAGCATAGGCCGCTCACTAGCATTCTCCATCCAACCCTGTCCTGGGCAATCCTTTCCAGCTCCTTCCAGTTCCTATTCATCCTTTTCATATCTGTGTTCTTAGGCCTTCCTCTTTTCCGTTTCCCTTCAAGAAGTCCTGAAAACTCATAGTTATTTACGATTCAGTCATTAATCATTGAGTTCAGCAATGTGATTGTTGTAAATGTTGAAATCGTTTAAAAGAAATAATCTAATCAGTCAATATTTTGTTCTTTTTATTTTCATTTTCTGTGCTAAAATTCTCCATGGGATCCACTTCACCTAAAATCACTTTCTCTTCACTGTACTTTTATTATGCTAAATTTCC